CACAGGCAGGGAGGGCGGCTCCTGTCTGTGCTGCACCCCCGGGGGTTCGTGCCCATGGGCGCACCGGGTGGGCACACGTAGGGCGCGCGTACCCCCCAAATCCGTGCAACGTGCCTGTCCGCGCACGCGCAGGCGGCAGGGTGCTTGAACCCCTGCGAGGGGTGTGCGAGGCTGCGTGCGAGCGCGCGGCTGGGCTGGGGTGCCAGGCGAGCCCCGGGGTCCCCCCACCTGCCGGTACTTGCTGTACTCCGTGCCCAGGGCGTCGAAGAGCTGGCACAGCTCCTGGGTGTACTTCCAGGAGGGGTGTTTCTCCGGCAGCACCTCGCGGATCCGCAGCACCGCCTGGGAGCTGATGTGGAACCAGAGGTACCGCAGTGCTGCTTCCGACACTGTCCTGTTGCGCTGCAGGCAAGAGGGTGCCCCGGGTGAGACCCACGCGGCCCCCGTGGGTCCCCGGGGCATCCCTGTCACAGGGGCCCTGCCCTGCCGCCGTCCTACCAGGCGGGTGATGTTGGCCGGCCTCAGGACCTCTTCGTACTGGACCTGGACTGCGTAGTCGATAGGGAAGTAGTGTTTCTGGAAAGGTGGAGAAGAGCACAAGGGGCTGGCAGCAAAGTGATGGGGACGTCCCTGCCAGCCGCGGTGCGACACCGGGGAACCGGGGGGGAAGGGCCTTGGAGGTGGTCAGCCCCTAGAGATGCACCAGTTTGCCACAAGTCTCCCCCAGTAAGAAAAAAACCAAAACACACACGTACATACACCCACCCAGCACCCGGTCATTGCAGAGGCCACCGTCCCGTGTTCCCCCCCCAGCAAACCTAGGCCCCGCAAGGCCCCGTGTCCCCTCGTTCCCTCAGGACCGGGGGTTACCATGTACCGCAGGCGCATCTCGTACTGCAGCTTGTCCTGCAGCAGGCGGGTGAGCTCCATCCGCCCGGGCGCCGCAGCCTCCAGCCCCAGCACAGCCAGGACACCTGGGCAGCCAAAAGCGAGCGATGTCAGCTCCCCCCACGCTGGGGACACCCAGTGGCCCCCCCACGCCCCAAAGCCGTACTCACACAGGACAGCTGCGTAGCCCGGCTGCATGTTGATGGCGGCTGACGGCTGCACCTACATGGTGGGGGCTCACCGGGGGCCTCCTGGGCAGCGACGTGCGCGGCAGGGGGACAAGGGACGGATGCAGGCCCTGGGCGCTGGGCTGCTCTCCAGTAGCCCTGGGCAGTCACCCCCTGCCATGGATGGGGGGGTCAGTCCCCCTCCCTGGCCGTCCCCGCTGGCTTCTCCTCTCCAGCTGGTCCCGGGGCCATCACGGGGTGCCGGCAGGGATGCGCTCCGGGGGGTGCAGGACCTCCCCTGTGCTGCAAGAGGGGATCTGGGGGGAGAGAGCCCCGGCTGCAGCCCTAGGGGCAGGCAGGCGCCCGGGCTGCAGCCCCCCGGGAGGGCACCCACTCTGCGCCCTGGGGGACTGGGGTGGCACCACCTGGGTGGCCCCGGAGGGCTGTGGGTGGCCACGGAGCCATGGGTGCCCATGGGTGCCAGTGCCCTGCTAGGGCCAGGGCTTCCCCCGGTGCCGCCCCCCGGGGATTTCCAGGGAGGGGGGGCCCAGCCCGGCGTCGTTATCCCAGCAATGAGTTGGTCCGGCCTCAGCAGGAGCTCAGCCAAGGAGCAGCAGGGGGATGGAGCCGGCGAAGCGGCCGGGCCGCCCCACGCTGGATTCCCGCACACATCGTGTGCCCAGGCGAAGGGGGCTGTGCCATGTCCCCAGGCTGTGACCCCACGGGAAGGGGACCACAGCGTGGCCCTGCGTTGCGTCTTCCACAGCATGTCCCCATGGGAAGCGTGGGGGGGGGGGGTCCCCGCATGGACG